CTGCGTGCACACTGGGGACTTTATATCCTCCCAAAGTTTGTAGGCTCTTTGAGTAGGATCAGGATGGTTGTCTTCTGGTGCAAACACTACTGGTGGCTTCTGCTACATTTTCATCCCAAAGTTTCCATGTCCTAGCACCCAACACCCTCAGTATAAATAGTCCATTATAGCTCTCAACCCTTCCAGAAGCTTGTGGGTTGCCATGACTTGCCACAATGCAGCAGCCTAGATGGGTTTACCTCTGCACTGCCAGCTGCTCTACTTCTATTGCTGTTGCCACCCCTACAAAGAAACTTCCACCATTCATGAGTCAGTAGAGAGTACCAGCCACTTTTCAGCAAATTTCAGGGCCAGCTGGAGAGTTTCACCTCTACAGATTGACTCAACTCACCTTTCCCTCCCATGGCTTTCATGACCTGCTATGTGGGACTGCATAAAGCAGCCTTCCACTGTTGATGGTTTCCTACAACACGACAGGATCCATCAGTGAACAAAACGTACTGCTTTTCATCTTCCGATAATACATGCATCATGGATGCCCAACCTTCCGTGGAACTAACACATTGTGCTGGTTTGATGTCAATGGTTGCTAGTCCTAGTGAGTTCTCAAGGTGTTTATCAAAGATTTCTGATGAAATATTACCATGAAATATACAAAAAAGGATGTTTTTTTAGAAATCTCAGAACCTGTTCTCAAATTTCTTTATCAAAATGGAAAACACAGCTGTGTATAACACACTGTTGACTGTGTTTAGCCAATGCATCAACACACATGAAATACTTGCCATAACCAGAGCTTTCTTCAGTGACATTAAATCTGTTATCAGTACCTCTAATGAAAATGGCACTGAGCCATATCTGTAGCATCAGCACTTCTTTCATCCACCACCAAATTTTTTCTGTTGAACTGGATATTGTTATTAGGAACACTAAAACCCTTAGTGGCTGAAAAAAAAATGAGCTGTGGTTGACATTCTGCGTCTCTCAGAGCTGATGCAGAGCATGTAGGGCCTGAGTTCCTCACTGTGTCAAGTCAAGGTCATTGCGTTTCTAAGAACCTTTACCATCAAAGGTTGTATTTGCTTTCTCTTGTAAAACTGTTCTTCTGGAGATTGCATTCCATCATGTTCTCTCTCTTTATACCTGAAACATACTGGGCCTTTGTTAAATCTGCCACTCTGCTCTTTGGAGCTGTGTGAATATACATATATATATATATATATATATATTATTATTATTATTATAAAATATATGCATATATACTTTATATATTTTTATTATTATTATTATATATATATAATAAAGAATTGGTTGGAACACATCTGGTACCTGCATACAGCATAGTATGGTTTGGACATTGAAAGTTATGCCCCAGAGGGAGCTGCTAATTTTACAGAATTACAGTGATTTTTAAGCAGACTTCCAGTCTATATTTATGCATAAAATAGTTACTGTTATTTCTCTTCTGCTTTCCATTCCTAGTACATCATTTTCATCTCAGCCTACGAGTTATGTTTTAAAAAGACGTGTCCTGATCTGGGCATTGCCAAAGAGCTACAGTTTACTGCACTGTGTTGGGATCTAGTCTGAGCCTAGCAAACATTATTCAACACCCTGAAACAGCCTCTGAATCTGAGCCAACCTCTACAACAGGCCCTGAGCTGAACCAGAGAACCAACTTGTACCAGTATCCTTCACCTCTGTCCACAAGCAGAAAGAATGGAAGCAAAAGTCAACTCTTTTAGTGAGGAAGAAGAAAGGAGATGAGGAAGGCAGCTCCACAGCAAGGCCATCATGAGAGTGGGAGGAAGAGGTGGAGGTTGTAAATGAGGCAGTAAGCATCCGATGCCTATCCCTAGGTGAGCTGTGAGATGTGCAGATAGATTTCAGCTGTTCTCCAGGCATCACGTCATCTGGCTGTTCTGATTCTGGGATGTCGTGGCTGACAGCATAGATTTAAGGGCCTGAAAGCCAGGCAGCTGGCTTTGCAATTTTCAATTGCAGAACTTGAAAAATCTTTTCCTCTCTGGACATGGCTTCTGTTACCTGTGAAGATAAAGCATTCTTATAAGGAAGTATTAGAATTAAGTGTTCTTCTGCCCCAGAGAATATATAGTGGGTATAGGCCCATAGGTATAGGTGGTGGGCTGTTCCCCAGATGAAATAGATCTTATTTCTGAATTTGATAATAAATCCTTTGCTTTGCATTCACAATAACTGAGTAACAAATACAGCAACCAGAACTAGAGGAGCCCTGCCTCCAGCAATTTTGAGTTTCAAACTCAAAACTGGTCAGGCACTGGAATGGGCTGCCCAGGGAGTTGGGGGAGTCACTGACCCTGGAGGTGTTCAAGGAACGTTTGGACATTGTGATGAGGGACATGGTTTAGTGAGAACTATTGGTGATGGATGGATGGTTGGACTGGGTGATCTTGTGGGTCTTTTCCAACCTTGGTGATTCTATGATTCTAGACAGTAGACTGACCTCCCTCTGACCTTGGTCTCAATTTTGACATGTTTTGGGTCTGCCACATCTGGTCTCTCCTGCCAGGTCTGTCCACCTCTGGCCACTGCCACCAGGACATTTTGTCTCCAACCTCAGCCACCAGATCTACCTGTTTCTGGCCCAGTGCCAGGCCTACCCACCTACACCCACATACATCTTCCTAACGCAGATGCAGCTGTCATATCCATTGTCTCAATACCCTGACTGAAAATGAGATACTAGCAATATATGGGGGTGGTTAGATGCTTCAGAAGTTGTTGGTACAGCATAGCTCCTCTTAACACCGTGAGTATCTGTGCTACGTTGGATATTCAATCCCACGTCATTCAACTGATGCTACGTGGAGTAAGTGAGTAGCACTAAGTAAGTAATGGGCTCGGATGATGAAACCCAACAGCCCAGGTTTCCTGAACCCATTCAGATTGTGCTCTTAGGCATATGGTCTAATTTTTAGGTAGGCCTCTCTGGAGCCTGGAGTTGGACTTGATGTTCCTTGGGTGTGCCTTCCAACCCAGGATGTTCTATGGTTCTATGATTCTGTGTTCTCAGGAATCTCTGTGACTGTCTTTAAACCTGGAAGTGTTTAGGTATAAAAATATACTCTTTTATATACAACAGAAACAATATATGCAAAATGTACAGTGCAACATATATATATGGTTGCTTGAATATGTGTATAAATATGTATTTTATGAATAGACACACAATCTAGTACTTATACATATGTACATAGGTTGCTCTGAAATTGATGCTTACTATTTATTTCCTTGGAAACTAAAACAGATACAAAGGACAGAATAACACAATTTGATAGAGCAAGTTGTCAGCAACAGAATGCTATTTTTCAGCACAATCACTACCATTATCTATGCATACTCACCAGTGATAAGCAAGAGTCTGTGCTGCACTTGTAGAAGTCCGCACTAGAGGAGGTGACTGTTGCTGTCACCACTGATGAAACACACCATCCACTGTGTCACTGTGGTCACATCCCCTGCTTGGTCTCCATAAGCATTCAGCAAGTGTCAATAAATGTCAATGGCTGCAATTTTTCTGCATGAAGGAAACTGATGACACACCTTTATTTCATCAGCACTTCCATGTCAGACACCATTTTGTCAGATTGCCCCTCTGCTGCCATTTGTCACACAGCAACAACATGGAATGGACTATTGGTGGGGAGGTTCAACCTCTACAGCCATACCACCACCATCTGCCTCTGACATCATGGGCCAACATAATAAAATAGGACACATTACTTTCAGAACAGCCTTCATATATAGGCGAATACATTTGTATGCATGTATATATATACAGCTATAGAAATTAAATAGGTAGAAACAAAAAGAAGTATTAAATGGATAAAACGTTATTTACCTCCCTTTCCCCTTCTCTTCCCCTTCCCCTTCCGTTGACTTCGAAACTGAAGGAGCCTCCCCTGTACCCTCACTTGGTGTAGTGGTGGAAGTGGTTCAGGGGTGCTGCAGGGATGCACCTGGGCACAAGGCTGGGAGGAAACCACTGTCTTCCTGCCTGCACATGATGTGACGTGGGTTGTGGTTTATAAACCTGCTGTGTCTGTCACGCTCTGGCTCCCATCACATCACAGGTTGGCGCCTGGGTGACACACCAAGAGCTAAGGATGCATCTGAGTCTCTGGGCTGCGGTTTTGCTGCCAGGACAGGACCTGTCCCAGCCCACATTCCTGCCAGGAACCCCCAATGGGGCTCTCCAGGCAGGGACAGGCAAGCCAGCATTCCCAGGACTGATCTCTGGCCCTGACCAAGGGCCTTTCCCATCTGCTGCTCCCATCAATAGCAAGGCAGGCGCTGATCCCTTCCCATCTCAATGCAGTCCCGGTGCATTCCTATCTTCGTGGTTCCTACAGCACAGGGGTGTTTGGACTGTCGCATCTTGTGCTGTTGAACTTTCCTACTCAGGAGATGCTCAGTGTTCCTGCAGGGTGCAACAGTGACAGACCCATCTTCCCCACAGCCAGAGCAGTTCCATGTTGATGCCCACCAGAACAGTGTGACACCCACAGCGGCCCCAATCCCTCATATATGGTCATAAACAGCACTGGCGGAGTTCATTGGAGAGCTGGGTTGCGTCAGAAGGGAGATTACTGCCGATAATGTCTAAAAAGGTGTCTGCCGCTTCAATTGGCTGCTGCTGCAATCTGGGCAAGTATTTGTAGATATATATTGCTCTCCAGTTGTCATTGTCCCCAGGAGTCCCCGGGAACTATAGCAGGGAGTGGAGCACAGCAAGGCTGTGCCAGAGGACAAGGGACTTGGGATGGGGACAGAGGGACTCCTGCCACCTTGCGTGCTGTGGCTGCTCCTCTTTGTGCAGCCATGCAGAGGTAAGTTCTCATTCCCTTGTCCCACAGTCCAGGGCAAGCAGGCACCAATGGGGTCACTGGGGTCTCTCTGGGAAGTGTCTTCTCAGGGTCAGACATCAGGAGAAAGGGCTCCAACCTGTGCAGGGCTGAGCAGGGCGGAACCCAAACCCATGGTGTGGGGCTCAGCATTCTCCTTATGTTAGTGTTCGAAGGAGTTGTGGAGGTGAGGCTGGCAAATGGCAGTATGCACTGTGCTGGGAGAGTGGAGGTGAAATACAACAATGAGTGGGGGACCGTGTGTGACGACTCATGGGACGTGAACGATGCCGCAGTGGTTTGCAAGCAGTTGGACTGCGGGTCTGCTATAGAAGCTCCTCACTACGGATACTTTGGGCCAGGATCTGGCCCCATTTGGATGGATGACGTTGCCTGTAATGGCTCTGAGTCTGCACTGTCTGACTGCATGCATGCAGGATGGAAAAAACATAACTGTTATCACAATGAGGACGCCGGAGTTACATGTTCAGGTAAGAGACAAGCCTATCCTCCACTTCTGTGGCCAGTTCAGGTGAATCAATGAGCAGATGCCAGAGAACTCCTGGCGTACCACTTGTGGTGATGAGCTGGGGCTGTCAATTGCTGGTCCCTAGGGAAGGCCCACTGGGAGTCCTCGTGTGCGGGCATCCTGCCTGGCCCTGAGGTGGCTCAACCGACCCTGGGGCAAGGAGATGAATCCCCTGCATCCACGTCATAGTGTCTGTTGGTTCTCATCTGTCTCCTCCTAATCACCCAGGACAATGAGAGCGATTAAAGTGGCCACATATGTCCCTGAGAAATGTATGAGGTGGCTGGGAACTTTTCGTTTGTGCTCCGGCAGGCACAAATCTCTTGGGCAAGGCAAAAGAGCTGCTTGGAGGTGAGCTCTCTAACCACTCTCCTACCATCTTCCTGGCCATTGGATGGGGACACGTGCAACCAACAGTACATTCTGGCCCTGGATGAGGACCCCTCCCCAGGCAGGCAGTGGAGCAGGGGCTGGTGCAGACGCTGACTGCAGGAACAACCAAACCATGGTTTGGACACTTGTGGCATCCCATCCAATAGCAGCACAACAGCCCAAGGCATCTGGGAACGGGGAACTTTTCTGGAAGCTCCAAGGGGTTCCTTGTCTTGCCAGAGCCTGGTAGAGCAGAGCAGACTAAAATATTTGCAACTTCCGAGCCCATTACCACATGCTGTTGTCACTGCAGTGCTTGGGGCTGGGATCAGGCAGAACAGGGGCTCCAGGATGGGAGAAGTTTGCCTGAGCAGTGCCTGTGGTTGTGGGCTTTGGAGAGAAGTCCACAGGTGCTAGGCTAGTTTCTAAGGAGCATTAGGGACTCCCTGATGTGTTTGTGCCCTCAGCACCCACCAAAAGGTGCCGGGATGGCTGTGGGGCTCTGCATGTAGCTGATTGGGAGATGAGGTGGGACATAAAAATGGAAGTGCCAGTGAGATCACAAGTGTCTTTGCTTGCTCCAGGACCTGTTCGGCTTGTTGGAGGAGACAATGACTGCTCAGGTCATGTGGAGATCCATGATGGAAAACAGTGGAAATCTGTCTGTGACTCACACTTTGGTCCCAAAGCTGCCGATGTTGTCTGCAGGGATTTGCTGTGTGGCAAAGCCCTGCTGTTACCCAGAGCAACTCCTTTGGATGAAGAAGTCAGTCCCACTTGTGACAGGGATCTGCAGTATGTGATGAATGCATCTGTCCTCACCTCCTGCCTCAAGGAATCCTTCATCAACCAGTCCTGCACCCACCCAAATGGCACTTACGTCACCTGCACGAGTGAGGACTCAGGGTGGGGTTGAACATGGGGTTGTGCTGGGGACAGGGGAGCAAGGGATGGGGCGGTGCTGGGTGTGAGAAGTGAATGAACGTGGTGGCCTTGTCACACTGAAGTAGTGCGGAAGGAGAAGGGCACAATGTCCCTTTGGCTTCTCCAGGTCCTGAGAAAGCTAGAGCACAAACCCTCCTCTTCTGTTCACAGAGTATACAGGGTTCAGGCTGGCGAACGGCAGCACGGCGTGTGCAGGCAGGGTGGAGATCCAGGTGATGGGGACCTGGGGCACCCTCTGTGCTTCCCGCTGGGACATCTCGGATGCCCACGTTCTCTGTCGTCACCTTGGCTGTGGGTTTGCGGACACCGTTCCTAAAGGAGGGCATTTTGGGGGAGGAACTGGCCCTGTCTGGAGTGACTCGTTCCACTGTGATGGGAGTGAAGCCCTCCTGGCTCAGTGCCCAGTGACCGCCCTGGGGGCCTCTCTGTGCTCTCATGAGAACGATGCCGCTGTTGTTTGCTCGGGTACATGCTGGAAAAAAGCTGTGGTAACTCCATCTGTGCAATACGGCCATTCAGAGCCGGAGACCTCACAGCAGCACTAGGCTGAAGCTCTCCCTGGAGATACCCTACAGGGTGCCAGGCTCCCTGGTGCTTTTCTGGAGAATCTCTGCTCTCCACAGGCCTCGCTCGTCCCATGTCTCTGCGGCTGGTGGGCGGAGGGAGCCAGTGTGATGGGCGCGTGGAGATCTTCCAGCACAGCACATGGGGCAGAGTCCTGGATGACCAGTGGGACCTGGAGGAAGCCAGAGTGGTGTGCCGGCAGCTGCGCTGCGGAGAGGCAGAGTCAGCCTACATCCCTCTGAGGGCCCAGCGGGGGATGGGCCCCGTGGGGCTGCGCGGGGTGCAGTGTGCAGGGCACGAGGCCAGCCTGAGCCTCTGCAACACCTCCCTGCCAGAGGCCACGAGCATCATGGAGGACGTGGGGGTCGTGTGCCGGGGTGAGCAGCGCTGCACATCGCACGGGCACAGCAGCGGACGGACAGGCAGCCTCTGATGGCTGGGGCTTCTCCCCACTGCAGGGAGCCGACGGGTCCGACTGGCGGATGGGGCTGGGCGCTGTGCAGGGAGAGTGGAGATCTACTACCAGGGCCGATGGGGCACGGTCTGCGATGACGCCTGGGACATGGCCGACGCTGATGTTGTTTGCCGCCAGCTGAGCTGCGGGTGGGCCGTGGAGGCGGCCGGCTCCGCTCGGTTTGGGGAGGGCTCCGGGCAGATCTGGCTGGATGATGTAAACTGCTCTGGGACTGAAGCTGCTCTCTGGGACTGTCATGTCCAGAGATGGGGACAGCATGACTGTGGGCACAAGGAGGACGCGGGAGTCGTCTGCTCAGGTCTGTGCTGGGAACAGAGCTGCTGGCCATGGGGCAAGTGGATGGCAGAGGGGTGAGCCAAGCATGGACGATGCCACCAAGGGGCCGCTGCCCAAGCCTGTCCTGGTGATGTCTGCATGCAGATTTATTGTTTGCCCCTGGGGGATATCTGGAGAGCATGGCCACTCTGACAGGGAGTGGGGAGGGTGAGGTGCACACCTGGGACCTCTCCATCCTCAGGTGCAAAGGGGACTTGCTGGCCACGCTTCTGAGAGTGGAGGAAGCCCGAGAGTGCAGAGGAACCTCTGCTTCCCAGAGCTGGACCAACCTGTTTGTCCCGGGTCTTTTTTCCTCACAGAGTTCATGGCCCTGAGGCTGGAGAACAACGATGGCTGCTCCGGGCGCCTGCAGGTTTTCTATAACGGAACGTGGGGCAGTGTTTGTTCCAACTCGATGACTCCTCACACGGTGCCATTGGTGTGCAAGCAGCTGGGCTGTGGGAACAGTGGGACCCTGGAAATGAGCTCGCGCTACGATAAGCTTTCTGGCACTGCATGGCTGGATCGTATAGAGTGTGGGAAGAGCAATAGCACCTTCTGGCAGTGTCCTTCTGCACCCTGGGACCCAAAGTCATGTGATGATCTGCGAGATGAGACCAACATCACCTGCACTGGTAACTATGAGCCACATGGGCACCAGTGCCACCCCAGCTCCTGCTACCTGGTTGTCACAGTCTGGCACAGAGAAAGAGCCTTGGGGAGGGCTTTTTCTGCCCATGTCAAACTCAGCTGCTGCTGCTGGCAAATAGGCCACTTCAGCTGTCAGAGCCGCACTTGCCCACCAGCAATGCCCAGGGGAAGCAGAGGCAACTCCAGGGGAAGTCTCAGAAGAGACCAGACAGGGTATGAGGAGCCTTCTCTCCTGCTGCTCTGTGATACAGGCACTCTGTGAGGATGAGTATTCTGGGTCCCCTTGCAGTGCCATCTGTGTCCTTTCAGTGACTGGGGGTCAGCTGCTGCCGTGACCACAGTGAGGTGCAAGACAAGGCCAGCTCTGCTCTCTTCTGCACAACTCCCAGCCCCTTCACTACAACACTTCTTTCTGCAGGGAGACAGCCAGGAAGGCTTCTGCTGGCAGCATGCCCCAACTCCACCAGTTGCACGGGTAAGAACAACTTCTCCACGTGGCTTCTAGTCTGGCAAGACTGTCCCGACTATGCTGGTGCCATGTGGGAAATTTCTGCATCTACAGACAGGGAGAAGATCCGTGCTGTGGGAGGCAAGGACAGATGCTCAGGCAGAGTGGAGGTCTGGCACCATGGCTCCTGGGGGACAGTGTGTGATGACTCATGGGACATGCAGGATGCTGAGGTGGCGTGCCGCCAGCTGGGCTGTGGCCCTGCAGTGTCTGCCCTGGCTGAGGCTGCATTTGGGGAAGGTACAGGACTGATCTGGCTGGAGCAAGTGGAGTGCAAAGGGACGGAGCTGTCGCTGCAGGACTGCTGGGCCCGGCCTGGAGACAGTGGTGTCTGCCGGCATAAGGAAGATGTTGGAGTGCATTGCTTAGGTGAGTGATGGAGCTGGGCCTTCTTACTCAGGTCCTGCCCACAGTCCTGAGTGGAGCAGAGCAGGGCCCTGGACGCTGTCCCAGACACCCTGCCCAGCCCTGCAGGAGGGCAATCCAGGTGGCACTTGTTGGAGACGTGTGCCAGGGGATTCCCTATTACTGTGCACACCCCCTTTCAGCCCTGCTCTTCTCCTCTGCAGCTTCACCCAGGATGACAGCATTCCCCCCACAAGCAGGTAAGGCGTCCACCCTTGGGGTGGATCTTCACTGAGCCACACTGTGATCCGCAGCCAGGGGGAGGAATCTCTTTATCAGGGTGTGAAATGCCCAGGAAGAGGCACAAGGCCGTTAGGGATGGGGAGGGGCTGTAATGTACCCAGGAGGATGGGAACTACTGCATCACCCAGCCCCTGGCCCGAAGCCCCCACTGCCTTGCATGATTGGGGTAAGGGCTGGGATGTCCTGCCCCTTTTCTCTCTGAACCTTGGTGAATCCATGTTCCTTCCCCTGCAGACTATCCGATTGGCAGAGGGAGAGTCTCCGTGCCTGTTGTCATTTGCATTATCCTGGGGGCTCTTCTCTGCCTGCTCCTGGCCCTCCTGGCTGGGCAGGTGCAAAGTGCCAAGGCTCAGCGCAGAGGTAGGTCCTGTCCCAGTAATTCTGGTGGAGATGCCTCCTGATAGGGTTGGCAGTGATGCTGGAAGGAGCATGGGTAACGTGGGGGGATAGGACCATCTGCTGCTTCCTGTTCCACACCACTCCACAGACAGCCTGGACATTGGGCCCCAGCAGCAAGGGGTGGAGAGAGCCCAGAAGCAGAGGGAGTTAATGCTGGGGCAAGGGAAGAAATGGCAAAGCAACACTGGTAGAGATGGGAGTAGAGAGGAGACAGCCAAAGATGTTCCACTATGGCAGCAGTGGAGGGGGCTCTGGGGCAGAGAAGGTGCCAGGAAGAGCGCGGGGTGCAGTCCATCACTCTGTTGTTAGGCTTCTGTGTTGTGTTGGGCACAGCCATGCTATGGACCTGAGGGGCAGAGAGAGGGCAGATCCAGAGGTCAGCAGTGGGATCTAACACAGGGGCCAAAGAAGCATGAAGGTTGTCTCTGACAAGTCGGTGTGAGGCTGATGCTGACTCGCACCAGCTCGTTGCTCTCAAAGGGGATGTGAAATGGTGCCCAAAAAGCCCAGGAGCAGGGCATGGGGAGAAAAGCAGAGTCCCACCCCTCTCCACCCATCCCCAGAACAGACCTGCCTTTGTCCTCAGGCTCCGGAAGAACTGAGGAGTCCTTCTTGGAGGCTGTGTATGAGGAGATCAGCTACAGCCCTGTATGGGAGAAGCAGACAGTGTTTGATCACTCAGGTGAGCACAGGCTCTTTGAGGGCACATCTGCATGGACCTTTCCCTTGTCCCTGGCCCAGGGCTGGCTCCAACTGTCCCTGCCAACACCAGTCTTTCAGCCCCACCACCTGCACATTCCCCGTCTTGCACTTCTCACTGTCACCAGATCCCTTCTCCTTCTAGACATTGCTATCCTGCCCAGAGGTGATCCAGAAGATGGCTATGATGATGCCAAGGAGGTTTCTGAACCTGAGAATAATTCTGACTCTGGGCAGGGTCACTGTGAGGTGCCCAGGATATGAGAGGAGGGAAAGGAGCCCAGGAATGCAGTCAGAGGTAAGAGGGAAATGAAATGCAGCACTGCTAGTTACCATGTAACTATCATAGAAGTACCATTCTGTGTCTTAGGTGAATTGCTGCAGTACCAAGAGCCCAGTCTCTCATGATGGGGAACCTGCCCCAGGGAGATTTCCTTGGAGGAAATGGGTCTTGCACAAAGGGCTCATGGCCAGTGAGAAAAAGGAAGGATTGTGATGGATAGCCCCAAAGGGGTATCCTGTGGAACAAACCACAGTGCTTTTCTTACTGCTTGCAGGGGTGAGTCTGCATTCCAGAGAAGTACTGGAGGCTCTAGAGTGGATGGAGATACCTTGTCCTTTTTCCTGAGCAGCACGGGCTACAATGATGTTGAAGAGGTGTCTCTGGCACATCCCCATGGGAATATGAGCACTGTGACACTAGAGTGGGGCACAACATGATCCCTGAGCCCCAGGCAGGGAGAACCCATCTCTGCCATGAACTTGAGTGTGGTTGCAAGGGAAGTTCGTGCTGCTTAGAGACCTGTGAGGTCCGTTTTCCCATGGGCAGCAGTAGTGGGCCATTTCCTCTTGTGTTATTATCTTGTTTTTATATCATATTCCTGTATTTGTTCTTATTAAAACTCCTTGGAAGTTCTGATCCAGAGCTGGTGCTTCACTGCCCCTGTGTCAGTTGGATCTTTGGGGCTGATCAAGGGAAGCAGAGCACAAAGACACAGTGATGGGAAAGGGGTGATTTTTGGAGACATTTGTATTGGGATCAAGATGTGAGGCTGAGAGCACATGGTACACGTGGAGTATTCCTGCTCACAGAGACATTTCCATCACTCCTACGCAAAGCAGAGTTTCAAGCCAAAGCAGCTGTCTACAAGGTCTCATGATTCTCCTCTGAGGGAGGGTCCTCCTGCTGCCTTAGACTTTCATGGCACTCTAAACAGGAGAAGATCATTCCCATCTTGTGGGAGACAGAGGAATAGTCAAAGGAATGGTCTTAGACCACTGTCCAGCCCCTGTTCTGGAGTAGGTTCCATCCGAGAGCTTGGCCAGATTTTCATTGAAGAGATTTTGCATTCCTCTCCTGAAGCAGGCCCTCCTAGAAACTGAGCCAGGCTCCCGGCTCTTTGGTCAAGTATTTTACCTGCCACAGAACAGATGAGCAGAGAAACCTCTGCCTCGGGAGCCAAGCAGGGAGAAGTGTTTGACAGTTGGGTAGGACCTGGTACCCAAACTGCCATCCCTACTCCTGCTGCTGGGTTTCCACATGTTCCTTTGCTGCAGTCTGGAAAGTGCCTTAGGTGTCTGTGGCAGGGCTCCCTGCACAGAACAGCCACAACTCAACAGCACTGCATCAGCATTTGGTCCTCAAGCAGCAGAGGGGATGAGGCAACTGTTTCCAGCACTTCCTCCCACAGCAACATTGCCCTGTGTCCTGCTGTCTCTCCACTCATAGGGAAACCCTAGGGAGCTCTGAGAGGAACCAGCACTCACGTAACTCTCTGCCTCTGAGACTGGAGCTCCCCTACTTTTGGCCCCAGCCTTGAGTCTGCCCCTCAGCCCAGTCCCAGACCCACTCCTCCCTGTGTAGATGCAGCACTGGAGCCTGACCTGAAATGAGATGAGTTTTCTGGAGTACAGAGACTGTGCTCATGGTACTCAAGTACTCATCACAAGGGTCTCACTCCAGAAAATTTGCTCTCCTATGGGCCTTCTGCAGTCAGACACTGTCTCTCATTTGGTGTTGGGCAGCAGTGCAGAGGGCCAGGATCTCAACATGATGCCCCTCAGATGGGGACTGGTTTGCTGCAGGAGCAACCACAGGCCACTGATCTTCTCCTGACAGCCACTCTTTCCTGTGTGAGGCTGGAGAGCAAGGATAAAAGTCAGCCTGGAGATGCACAACACTACTCTTTCAAAAAAAAATTAAAATTAAAATTAAAAAATCACAGGTTGACATAAGAAGTTTAATGAAAGGTAAAAACAAACAACAGTGAAATAAGCAAAGTCTGTGTGGAAGCAAAAGAAGGCTCTCTTACTCTTCTTTGTGCCCCTTGCAGAGTCCCGTTCCAATTCGGCTTTGGCTTTCCTGACCCCATCCCTATACAGCCTTGCAGCATCCCTATATCCCTCCCAGATTACTTGTCCCTGCTTCCACCACATGTGCATTTTCTTGTTCCCCCATTTGACCAGCAGGTCCCAGTTCAGCTGTGCTGGTATCTTGCTTTCCTTTCCTGACTTTCTATACCTGGGTATGGAGAGCTCTTGTGCCCTAAGGAAAGCTTCCTTAAAGACCTGCCAGCTCTGCTCCGCTCCCTTGTCTTTAAGGTCAGATTCCCAGGGGGTTTTGTTGACCAACTCTCTAAAGAGCTGGAATTTGGCTTTCCTAAAATTAAGCTTTCTGATTTTACTCTTTGTCCCATATCCCTCAGAAATGTGAACTCTTCCATCTCATGGTCACTACAGCCCAGGCAGCCTCCAATCCTGATGCCACCACAATCAGTTCACTCACATTGGTGCGCAACAGGTCCAGCATTGCATCCCCCCTGCACTGGGGCTGTCTATTACCTGGCTCAGGAAGTTATCCTTGATGCATTTCAGGAACCTTCTGGACTGCCTACAGCTTACCGTGCTACTTCAGCAGATGTCAGAGTGGTTGGAGTCCCCCAGCACAAGGACTCCATCTGCAGCCATCACGCCAGGTGTGAAATGAACTGCCCCATGGTCAAGAAAAATTCTTGCCATGGCACCAGTCTCTCAGCCATGTATTTCTCAGATGGATTTTTTCTGGCCAGGTATCACCCCCAGTTACTGAAGGGACAAAGGAAAACACATCTGTATGCCTGCTCTATCTACTAACCGTCTCAGTCCTCTGAAGTTATTGTTTGCCCTAAAGCTTCTCTCAGCAATTTTATCACTGCCAGCCTGAACTATCAGTAAAGAATAATAATAAGAGGGACAAACCAGGTCAGGAGGTTTTCTGGTAATGTCCTCAACTCAGGGCAGACAGTGCATAACAGGAAAGATTACCTATCCCTATTCTCCATCTTGCTGAACACAGTGACCCAAAGGGACATTGGCACCAGGTTCCTTTCCGACGCAGCTGGCACATCTCCTCAGTGACCGCCACACCATCCAGCAAGGGCATCTTTATGAGGATCTTCTGGGAGACAGTATTCAAATCCTGTGCTGCTTTTGGCTGGTAAGCAGTTAGTTCTATATAAAAGCCACTATCAAGCTATCTGGCGGGTTGGTGACAAAAATATTGAGCACACTGAGGTTTTAGCTATTGCTGAGCAGTGCTACCACAATATCAAGGTCTTCTCTGTTTTTCTCATTGCTCTTCTAGCAAGCAGGCTCAGGGTGAGCAACAGTTTTGGAGGGGACACAGCCAGGACAGTTACTTCGGACTGACAAAAGGGATATTCCCTACTACATGATGATGCGTTCAGCAATCAAATCTTGGACTAAGAAGGAGGAAGGGGAGAAGTCAGGCATTAAGGTGTTTGTCTTCAGAAATAACTGTTATATGTGACCAATCCTTTCTTTCCTAGAAGCAGCTATAAATCTGCCTGTTGTGCAAAGTAGTGAATATCCTTATGTTGTTTTGCTTCTACGTGCAGCTTTTTCTCTAAACCTATGATGGGATACTGCCTTTATGCAGCCTCCATTTCTAGGAGGAGCCCAGCTCCAAGCAGTGCTTGTGTTGGCCTGGTCCTCATCTCAGGATGCTGTGAGCAAACCCAGAAGAAACCCAGGGTCCTGGAGCTTCCAGAGAAATCTCCTGCATCTGTATGCAGCACAGGGATTTTCTTTTTCTGTGCCAGCTTGCTACTGTGTGTGATGTATGCTGGGGGAAGGCGATGGGGAAACCAGGATCCACTTGTAACACCATTAGCCATTTATTAACTCATCAGTTGACATGACTTCCACCTCTGATACCCGCACCTAGAACCCTAGGAGACTGCCCTAACACCAATCACCTCAGTGCTTTCTGCTTCAGTTTCCCCTTTTTCCCAGTGGGAATGATGCTAATGATTTGACCTGTGCAGCTCTGGGAAGCCAGATGCCACCAGCTGGGGGACAGAACGGAAAGAAAACTGAGTGAAGCACTCCTTCCCATCTTCGGGAGGACAGATGCCCCTCCCTCTCAGCACAGCCTCCTGAGCAGAGAGCACTTCAAAGGTTTTTGTTGGCACTCCCAGTGCAGGCTAGTTCAGGATGAACTGTGAACTGTGCAGTGCGCTCCATCACAGTGCTGGGCACAGGGGAAGCCCCACCACATCCTACACTCCTGCTACAGCCAGCCAGCTGTGGGGTGCAGGACAGCACAAGAAGAAGATTAAATCATCCTTGTTCTACCGAGAATCAGAGACAGTCTGTCTAGATGTATGATACGACACAGCTCGGCAGTTTTCTCTCTGAAGATCATCAGACTGATTCAAAAAGGCACTTTACTGCATATCCCTTGAAGGTAGATACAGTTGGCAAGAGCCTTTAAAAGCGGATTCTTAGAAGAGAGTCAACAGAAAGCTGAGTTTCTGTGGCACCACAGCAGCACTCTCCTCCCTGGCAAAGGCAGTTGAGATCAGCACTGAGATCCTGTGCAGGAAGTCCCCCTGTGCCCCCATGCAGCATATGACACCTAAGGCAAGTCACAGCCATGGCATGGGTTCAATCAGACAATCCTGTCTTTGGAGTCTTCCCCACCCCAGCCAAGGGTCCGGATTGCAGGTGCTCAGCAAGAGGGCTGTTGGGATGCAGCCGAGAGAAACGTCCGAGTGTCCAGATGGGGAAGACATTGCGGTAGGCAGTGTAACTGATGGCACATGATTTGTTGAACACTCCAGCAATGTTCTCCTGAGAGAGAGACAGACAGCAGGGTGATGTGGGTGACAGAAAACCACAGCGTGTCCAGGACACAGTCCTGAGCTCATTACTTTCCTGAAGTCCTCCATCAAAAGACACACATGGCTTTTGAGCACACTATTACAAGGGCTACGTGATGCCCAGGCCATATGCATCACTGGAGAACAAACTGGAGAGATCAGAGAAGATCCACATACCTGAGGCCAGTCACCGTTGGGCAGCTGCTTATCAATCAACAGTTTGATGCCCCTTTCCAGCACACCAGTGTCAGGGTACCTGCAAAGCACAAGGGAGATATAATCACTTTTGTCATCTAGACTGTCTGCATACCTACTTCAGGAGCTCAGTCACCTCCAGTCTGCCTCAGGCTTAACTAAAGCATGCTGAGTACTTTGGGAAGGCCCCTTACAACTCCAGGGTACCATGCATTTCTAATACAGCAAAATTACTCTAGGCTGGTGGCCTGCAATTGTGATCCAAAGCTTTGCTTTGCTCTGATTTGCCCTTTCTTATAATCAGTAGCCTCACTGGCTGGACCACAGCTCATGGCAGAATGGAGTAACCAAAAAACATGATTGGGTGCATGGCCCACAGTAGCAGGACCCAGAGCCAGAGCCTTTCCACACAACCCAGCTGGTCTCTCCCATCTCATCAGACACTAAAAGAAATGCGATGTCAGAAGTGGTGAAGGCTGCTCCTACCTGACAGCCATGAGCCCCAGCAGGGCCCAACAGGTGTTGTGGATCTGTGAGGAGGAACTCTGCACATATGTGCGCTGCTCACACGACTCAAAGTCCTCTCCCCATCCACCATCCATCATCTGCTTGGAGAGCAGGAACTGGCAGGCTCGGGCCACTTCTCTGCATGCCACCCTGCAGGGACAGGCAGAGAATCAGACAGGGCAAAGTACCAATGAGAGCTAGCTAGTTTGCAGTTTTCCAGCTGCAAACAGAAGCTGTGTTCTACCCTGCTCATGGCAGGGGTTGCTGCAAGAGCTGGAACTCAGGCATTGAGTGCTCTGGTCATATCACAGGGATCAGATTTGGAAGGAGCAGTAGCTGAGGCAGAAGAGCCTAGGGCTCCACCCAGCCTCACCACAGAGCCCCATCCCTGCCCCAGAGTTAGAGGTGGAGGAACCACCTGGCCCTTACTTACCCATCATGGTACACATGCTGCATACTGGCAAATGCCTCCAGACCAAACCAGGTTCCATATGTGAAGCAAACTCCCCAGCTCCTAGGCAAGAGGGAAAATCAGTACAAGGACCAGGCAGAGGCAGGCTCTGACACTGCTGTATGCACAGCAAAAATAGACACAGGCAGAGCAATAGCTTGTTTGCCCCATGGCCTAACTTTGCCCAGCACCTGCTCCTAGACTGCTCTTAGACTGGAGGAGTTGGATCCACCCCAACCCCTAAAGGAGATCAGCTACCTACATGCTGTTCTCACACACACTACCAGCCATGAAAGATGCTTGTGGTCCCTCTCATGCTCGGGCAGTCAGGGGAGAAATGGACAGCTGTGAGCACTGCTTACCCTTCCCATGACCCATCAGCTCGTTGCTTCTTGCGACAGAAGTCCAGGCCCTTTTGCAGAGTCTCTCTGGTCAGGAGAAAAATAATCCAAAAGCAGCTCAAACTCAGTGGCTGCTTCATTAGTGGTACTCATTATTACCTCTGAGGATTTTAAGGATCACGCGATTAGAAGGCTCAATTGGCAACAGAAAGCAGACAAATGACCCCATTCAGAATTTCAGAGTCAAATCATGCTCTACTTGGGTATTTTTCTGCCAGCTTACAAGCAGGGGACCTAGCCTACAGCTGGCTGCAAGATCAAGGCAATTGTTAAGTCATCAGGCATGCTCATTCTCTAATGATTTTCCCCAGCTTAATCCCAAACAGATGCCCATGGGATTAGACTCTAGGATCCTGGGGGAGGGCTCTGGTTTGGATATGTCACCAACATCCCACACCGAACATTCCAATGGCCATTCCAAGGGCTGCTCCATGTCATTTCAGAGGCAAGACAGGGCTCAGCAGGTACTGTGCCAGCAAAAGACACAGCGACCAGCAGAGACCACCATTTTCTTCCCTACTCAACTCTCTTTTCACTTCCTTACCTGATCTCTGGGGCTCTGTGCTCAGGATACACATTTTGGAAGTGTCTCAGTGCCTGCATGACAGCTGATGTGCATTCCACATAGGTGTAGTCAATCATGATGTCACCTGTCAGCAGGAGAAGGATATTAGTGAAAGAGACCCTCTCCTGGTCAGCAAACTGAGCCACATGCTGCCGATCTCACCCCAAGACCCACAGCACATGCAGAGGGTCCTTGGACAAGACCTGCCCCTTCACAGTGGGCAGGGCAACCAAGTCCACACAGCTCCTCTTACCAAACACTTCCGAGGGGTTCAGCAGCTCCAGCAAATGGCCTCCTCTCTTGGTTTCATATGTGGCAAAGCCTCCATCTGAATTCCTCATGCTCAGTAACTGCCCAGACAAGCAGAGAGAGAGGATGGGGCTGGCTCACAGACAGTACCACTCCAGTCTGGCCCCAAGCAAGTTGTAAGGACAAAGTCAGACCAACATAGGTTGGTAAATTAATCATGTCCCTAACCACACTGACAGTTAGATCTCCAATCCAGATCATCACATCACATGGCTTTGTACAGACTTAGCAATACCACATCTAGCCACTCATCAGGCTTTCGCTTCTCTTATTTTAGCTCTTTTTGCCTGCCTGCATTTCCCTCGATCCTAATCTTTGCAACACTTACCACATTCACAGCATCAAAGAGGCGTTCAGCTGGGACAGGGTTGGCTATGAAGGGACACTTCTCCTGCAGCAGCATAATCGACTTCAGTCCCTCCGCTGTGCAGTCTGCCACAATCCAGCCACAGTCCCGTGTGCTGAAGGGAAAGCCACCCTAGGAAGGTAAAGAATGACTCAGCACCATCCTTTGGACTTGTTCTGTTCTTGCACAGGGGAAAGTAGTGTCTCTCATGCCCCCAAACCCCTCTGCCCAAATCTCAGCTCTGTGTATGCACCCATTGGAGTCCAGCCCCAGCCATCGCACCTTGTTCATATGGCGGTAATATTTCTGGTAGTCAGGTGGGTTCTCTGGGATCTACAGAAGACAAGAAACAAGAAGGACAGATTGAAGCTGCCCAGCTGAAAGGTCATAGCTTCAAACAATCACAGATGCAGAGCTCTTTGCGACTGCTCACCATCTGTCCCTCACTGAGGGAGGCAAACAGGGAAAGGTATTCCCCGCTCTGAAGTGGGGAATACTGAAGAAAAATCACACAGAATCATAGAATCACAGAATTGCCAGGGTTGGAAGGGACCTCAAGAATCATGAATCTCCAATCCCCCTGCCACATGCAGGGCCACCAACCTCCTCATTTAATGCTAGACCAGGCTGCCCAGGGCCCCATCCAATCTGGCCTTGAACACCTCCAGGGACAGGGCATCCACAGCCTCTCTGGGCAGCTGTTCCAGCACCTCACCACTCTCTCTGTAAAGAATTTCCCCCTGATGTCCAACCTAAATCTCCCTTCCCTCAGCTTAAAACCATTTCCCCTTGTCCTGCTGTCACTCACCCTTTCAAAGAGCTGATTCCTCTCCTGTTTGTAGGCTCCCTTTAGATACTGAAAGGCTGCAATGAGGTCACCCCGCAGCCTTCTCTTCTCCAGGCTGAACAAGCCCAGCTCCTTCAGCCTGTCCTCATAGGGGAGGTGCTCCAGTCCCCTGATCATCTTTGTGGGCCTTGCACCAGCATGTGTTGAATAAAGCCCCTTCTCGAGAGCTTTCCTGACAGGGAGCCATCTGCTTTCAAGGGCCTCACTGACAGCACCATGACTAAGATGTACAATTGCATCTACACCAAGCTGGTAGACAGCAAGATCTGAGCTGTGCAGTCACTGGGGAAGGAGGCTGGGTTCCCAGAAAGAAGTCTGAGCTATCAGTTTTCCAGCCTCTCTCAGCCCAAGGCAGCCAATTTAAACATCCCACAGGATCTCAGAGCAGGGCCTGGGGCTGGCCAAGGTCCTGGATGAGCTGCAAAGATGATTCCCAGCAAAAGGGCACAGGAAACAGACAGCTGTCCTCAGGACATTGCTAGTCCAGCCCTGCAGGGAAGCTCTCACAAGAAGCCAAGACTGCATAGCCAGCATTGCAGAGACAACACCAACCAACTCAGCTTACCTGGGTGAACCTAAGAAACTCATGGGCGTTCTGAAGGCAGGACTTGAACTCAGGTATCTTCTGGGCTTCTGCCTAGAAACAGAGATGCACAGTCAGCAAGGAGTTCTGGCCACAAAATACGTCCCTTGGGAAGAAGAGGATATACTAGGACTTTGCTGACCTCAGTGGCCATTAACACCTGCTCCTTGTATAGCTCTTCCTGTAGGTTCGCATTCATCCTTTGCTTACTACTTTCATTACAAACCCCTCTAATGAGAGCCATGTGCTGTTGCTTGCATCACTGAGAAAAATATTTGCATGGCCACGTGAGGGGCTTACTTGAGCAATCACATTACCCTCCAAAACACATGCCCACCAAAACTCTTTCTGCCCTTATGCTGGAGATCAGCCCTGTATGCTGTTCCTGACAAACAGGAATGCTCTGTGGCCAAGAAGAGCAAGGAATAAGAAACAGGGTTTTATCACAAGACTGTAGCAACAAAAAAAGTCTAATTCAGCCCATTCTGCTGGCATTGTGACCTGCTTCAAAAGCAGCTGGCAGAGAAGGGCTGTGCTATTGTACTGGACAGCCTGCCTACCACAGCTGAGGGGCTTTCTGCTGAGAGTGTTTCCCTGATGCAGCTGTATCATGCGATGCCATAATCAGCACAGCAGAGGCACAAGAGAATGTGCAGTAAAAGCCCCTCATATTTGAGGATGCACCACAATGCTGTCTTTTGTCAAGGCACCGTGCAAACTTGAGGGGCATCTTACCTCCAGGAAGGCCTGGATGGCAAAGGCAGTGTCCCAGAGCTGGGATCCATTTGTACCCTGAGAGAGAGAAAGTGAATGGTGAAGGTCAAGTTGCCACTGACACCTGTGGGGACTCCAGGACAGCATATTTCTCCTGCATTAGCCCCTCTGTTCCCTCCATCCTGCATCTTGGTTTTATGTCACCCAGCACCACAGCTGCTGTGCTGGCACTGAGGGGTGGAATGCAGAAGCTCACAAACAGCAGAGGGACAGGAAATGAGAAAGCTGCCTTAGCCTGATTTGTGCACAGCAAGAGCAGCAGAGATCAACAGTTATGAGCAAAGGGACACAACAGCCACAAGATAAGCACAGCTCAGTCTGCACGCACTATCAGAGCCTCTGAGCAATAGGGCTGGGGACCATCTTTCTCCTTCCCTTCTCACAGGACCCACAGGGATGAAGGGGATGGAGACCTACAGCTGCCTCCTCAGCCGATGGCCAGAAAGGCAAACAAGTGAAACACACACAATGCACTCCCAGCACTGCCAGGCAGACAAGGCCAACAGACACTGAAAATGAGATGCCAGGAGCTATCCCACCCCAGAGGCAGCTTCAGCAAGCCAGGATCTCTTCTGGTCTCTCTGGCATCCAACAGCAACTCACCTGCATCTTCATGCCATCAAGGCCCAGCCTGTGGGAAAAGAAAACAGCGCTGCAGCGCAGGCATAGCAAGAGCAGCAGGAAGGGAGCTGGGAGCCACGATATGCCAACATCACAGGGATCAGAACCCCATGCCATGACAGGTGGGTCACACACATCATTACCAGAGATAGTCAGGGATCCTGGAAACATGCTCCTGAAAAGCTGGTGAATTCTCCCCATCCACAAACCAGCGAACCAACATGTTGATGGTCTTGGAAATCTGCCGAGAGCATCACTGTCATTGCTCTGGGTATAGCACCTTCCAGCCCCAGACACATACATCCCTACCACCCAGCACACATCCATCTAGAGGTCCTGGGCTTCACTCTGACAACTCCATGTGTGGCATCGCTCTAAGTATAGCTGAGACAGCTCAGCAAGTGCCACAAGATTACTTCAGGGCTTATCTTCACATCATGTCCTGAACCACAAGGAGAGGTATCCCTTACTAGGACTACAGCTGTCCCCATACTCTCTGCCTCTCCTGTGTCCTGTTAGCACTAAAGTCTTGAGCATTATGAACAGCAGGAGTTGTGCTTGAGCAAGACCCAGAGGTTATGGTTACACACAACTGCAAAGGCTGTGGAACCCTGTGCTAGATCTTAAAGAGCCAAGGGCAAGAATTTGACAGGATCAGTATCAAGTAGCCTACCGGACCAATGCTGATACACTTGGTGAATCTGTCATCAGCTTTGATGTGGTCATACAGCTCCGTGATGGCTCGCTGCCGCAGGTAGGTGCTATGGTGGGCTTCATACACATTCATGACGGCTGGAAAATAAAGGGACACACAGTGAAATATTCACACCATGTGGCTACATCCACTTGCTGTGGCTGGCTGCACCACTGCTCAACTGATGACCAAACAAGGAAAGAATGGGAACTGCTGTGCCTCATGATGGCCTGAAGACTAGGGCACAAGGCCCTGATGCTGTCATGAAACTCAAGGTCCAGGGATCACACAGCCAGTGCCTCATTTCCAGCTCCAAGGCAATGCCAGTAGCTAACAGCAGACCTTGAAGGGCCCTCACAGTACAGGACAGCGTCAGTTCCACCACCAGCCCACTAAAGGGCAGTCCCATGGCAAGGGCGTTTCCATCTCATCCAGCACCACGCTCACCATAGGCGATTCCCAGTAGCCAGCTATGAGGGGTGTAGATATCACAGGCAGCCACGTTGTTCCTCTGGGCTGGCCAGTCGATGCTGGCATAGTCTTGCACGTACAGCTCCTGGCAGAAGACAACACAGGTGATCAGCCTGGCAAGCTGGGAACAAACACCCAGAGGCAGCTTGCTGCATGAGGTCCGCTGCCTGGACTACTTTGTCCATGCAGGCATGAGAGATGCTGCTTCATGAGCCAGAGGCTGGCCCAAGCAACGCGGCAGGCACAGCAGGCAGTAAAGGAGCCAAGTGTTCTCGCTGAGGAGTCCCTGCAGGTCCAGTTCCTCACCTGCTGCAAGCTCCGAATGAGTTCATCCTCTTCTGCTGACAGACGCTTGGCATAACAATAGCTCATGGGGAGGTAGACCTGGCGGCAGTGGCACCAGAGCTTGGACGGATGGGCTGGGAACCACGTAGGAAGCAGCCTATTTGCAATGGAGAAGGTGCTTCTGTGAGCAGCAGGAAGGACCAAGGGAGACACACAGAGGTGCTGTGCTAGCAGGATGTGAGGGGCCCCTGTGCCAGGCCTTCTGCTGCTGCAGGAAATATGGGAACACCCACACAGATTGGCCTTGCTCCCACTCTACAGGGATGAGCCCTTCCCACTAGCACCAGCAGATACTGCTCCTGGACCAGAGTGCAATCCAGGTTCAGAGAGAAGGGATAGGAAAAGTCATTTCAAGGCCCCTCTCTTCTCCACTTACTTTGAAGATGGAGTTGCGGACTGACAGCTGAATGCATCCCATGACAAAGCTCCAGCAACCCTAGGTACTGTGAAGCCCCTGACCTTCCCATAGAAAACTACACATGCTTTTCCTCTCTGACACCCAATGACCACTATGGACCCTCTGAGTCACCACAGAAGGTTACAGATGGCAGGCTTATGCACAGAAAGCTCTGTGCTGTTAGGCTTAGTTCTGCTTGGTCACAAGAGCAAAGGACCCTGTGGACAAAACCAACAGGGCTGAGCTCTTGCATATCCCCTTGGTGCAATATTTGGTGCTGCGTGCCCATCAGCTGCTCCTGCTGCCAGCCTCCAGCAGACAGGCAGCTTGAACATCCCCTGCTCTGGGCCATGGCTGGAGTCAGCCCAGCACATACAGTGCCTTGGGCAGCTGTGGGCTGAGACCAGTGACAGGACTGATGACATCCCTGCACCCATAGCACGTACCACATCTCCGGGAGCAGCGTGTTCATCCCCTCCCAGCTGTAGACGTTTAGGACAGCCAGCCAAAACTTCCCCCAAGATGGGATCCCCACAGCACCTCCTGCAGAGACAGATCAGGGCTTTCAGTGATTGCAGTTGTGCCTGCTCCCTTCTTTCCCCCACATCCCAGTGTTTGTCTCTCCCTGCATTCAGGAGCATGCTGCACAGACACATGCCTCCAAAAAAAAGGCAGGCAGTGGAAAACAGAGCATCCTTCCCCATCACTGGGTGAAGATCTCGATACCACTCAGGGCAAGCAGCTCCTCTGCTTGCAGAGCAGCCGGGCACAGCTGCACTGACCTTTGCTGTGCAGGTTGACGCGGGCCCGCACAATGTCGGGGTCATCTGGGCCAAGCCCCAGGATCCTCAGGGCTACGTAGTTGAGAGCCGTGCCAAACACCGTCGATTTGTCTTCCACGTGCCTGCCACACACACACACGCAGCACAGCATCAGACTCAGCCGAAGCATGGGGTGCCGCCATCCCGGAGGAGCCCCCGCTACTCACAGACCCCAGCCGCCGTCCGGGAGCTGCACGGAGCGCAGGTAGCGCACCATCTCCCTGCGGAAGCCGTCGGGCAGCGGGATGCGGGCGGTGTGACAGACGATGAGCAGCCCTGCGGGCACAGGAGCGACGGTCACATCGAGCCGGGCGCGGCGTGGCCGGGGGCGCGGCGGGACCCACCTGGCAGCAGGAAAAGCGGCCCTCCATAATCGCCGGCCCAGTGACCGTCCTCGGCTTGCAGCATGGCGTAGAATCGCATGCCGTTGCGGGCGGCCTCCCGCGCCGTTCCGGCGGCCGGTAGCGTTCGCAGCAGCGCGTCCTGCGGGGGAGATCGCGCCGCAGCTCAGCCGGGAGCCCCGCGCCGCTCCCCGCGCCCCCCGCCCCGCGGCCCCGCACCGTGTCCAGGCCGAGGCTGTGAGCCTCCAGCTCCGTCTGCGCCCGCCGCCCTCCGGTCGCCGCCTCGTCCTCGCCGCCGTCATCCAGGTAGCACCAGCGCTGCCGGCCGCCCTCGCAGCGCAGACGCCAGGCGGGCAGCGCCGTGGCTGCCTCCGTGCGCCACGGACCGCCGCGCCGCCGCACCACCCTACGGAGATGGGCACGGGGATGATGGGCGATGCGGATGGGGATGATGGGCACGGGGATGATGAACACTCACCCGTCCGCTGCCATCGTCACCGGTGCTGTCGAGAGCGGGGCCGGGATGGGGCCGGGACCGCGCTACCCTGAGCCGAGATGGCCTCACGGGAGGCCGCCAATGGGGCCGTGGCACCGCCCCGAGCCCGCCCCTATCCCCGCCCCGGGCGGCACGGCGGGTGGAGCGGAGCGCGGTGCGGGACGCGCAGTGGTGGGGCGCAGCGAGTCCAGGGCGGGGGCGGTGCAGGTGCGAGGTTCGGTGTGGCTGCGGGAGGTGGAACCGAACGGTGTGCACCCATGGACCCGCCCTGCTGCAGCTCCGCAGAGCCCCGCAGGGGGGCAGTGACCGCACAGTCGCGTCCCCGGATCTGTCCCTGCCCCCGGACCCGCAACCCCGACTTAAGAACCGCTGCAGAGAAAGCCGCCGTTGTGGGCAACCAAACCCCGGGCGTCCAGCAGCGCGGTGCCGGTGCGTGGCCGTGCCGCAGCTCTGCCCGCACGGAGGCAACGAGCAGCAAGCAGCGGCGCCGCACGGCGATCCCACCCGTGGGCCGGGGGCTCCGCAGAGAGCGGGGGCCGCACGGCCGCTCCGTTCCGTGCACGTAACCGACGGCACGGCGCCCGTCGCGGGCCGTGCCCTCGCGGAGCCTCGCGGAGGGGCTGTCCGTGTGCCGGCAGCCGTAACCCCGGCGCTCCGGCCGTCTCCTCGCGCCCGGACGAGCGGCGGCAGCCCCCTGCCGTGCGCTGCTGCCCGCACGGCCGGCACGGC